ATGTATTCACTTGGAAGGAAATATCTATAAGCTCAATTTAATTTAACCTTTTAAGAAGTCTGGTATATTGCTTGTAATGTAGCAATCTTTATCTGGAGACAGGAGAAAAACACACGACAGATTTGAGCAAAGATATTTAAGTCTTGTCAGGAGAATTCCCTGAAGGAAACCAATGAAATTATAAAGTTTCAGAGAATCTTCAAATGTCATCACTTTCTATTGATTCAAGGTAAGAGTAGGATCTGATACAATGATCATATCTGGAAAGGCAGAGCCCCCACAACACCACAGATGACATCTTCTAATGGTCTTGCCTCAAATGATGATTGTTAAATTAAATCATGTTTTACCATGGTGTGGAAAATTACCATTTTGTGAAATTTCATTATAGTAAATGAAATAGTTGTCAGGCAACTCCTCAGTTGGCAGGTATTCTCCTCTGTATGTTGGCTTCTTAAGAATGAATTCTGAATTGACAAAATCCTTTGTTAACTTCTAGAGGTATTTTTTAAGATTAAGATTTCTCAATCGTCTACTGGAAAGACAATATAGAATTATTTTGATCATTGATGTGTTCTGTATGGCACATAGCACATTTAGAAGGTCACTTTTGACACAATGTGAAAGAGAAAATCTCAATAACATATCCTAATATGAATGTGTGTATGTTTATGAAAATAAGTGAAAAAAAATGTGTAAACACGGATCTATAATAAGACCTTCAAATACTGGCCTGAAGCAGGATTTCGCACTTATTGATTCTACTGAATAATAGGATCATATTTTCTCTCTGTAGATGCGCTATAACTCAGTTGGGAGAAATGCTGTGATAAGCAATGCTTATCTTCAATAGAAATGAAACATTGGAAAGATGTTTCTATAATACAGAGGCTCTATCAATCTTAGAATCATACTATACTACCGAGCTCTGCCCATCCTCACATCCTGTCACAAAAACGCTGTAGCTGAAAGGAAGGACAAGATAAAGTACAAACTATACCCACATTGTCTTCAAGGTTCCATATCTGCATGTCTTGAAACACTAGATTTTTGTCTAAATGAATAGAACCTATTGAAAGTCACTAAATACTCTCCATGTATGACAGGCTAAGTACAAGATCTACAACATCTCTCCTACAATAGAGAGTTGCTAACAAACACTTGAGCAATTTCTTTGGATGATGAGTTAAGTCTGCTGAAATAGTCACCTGGCTATGAGTATTTGAACAAAAAAAATGAATTCCCTCTGATGAAGAACCTAGACTCTCAAACAAGAGTACTAGAATGAGACCCCAGCTTTACCAATTTTTGGTGTGGTATTCTTTTTCTGCATTCATAAAGCTGAAATCTTAATGGTACCTTCCTCACTAAAAGAAATGAGTACGTGCACCATGCTCAGAGCCAGGCATGTTACACAGTAATGCTGTCTGTGCCCATTGCTATCACTACTCTCAACGATTTGTAACTGCCTACATACACACTATACATCACCATCCAGCAAGTATTCAGCCTGCATGCATCACAAGGTGGTAAGAAATAAGTGACCATCAGCATTATTACAGTGACCCTGCCCTCTAACGAATTAGAAATGCTTATTATCTGTCAACTGTGTTTATTGGCATAAAGACAGATAATCAGGTTAAACCGGCCTAAAGAATTCATCTGAGCCTGTGTCCTCTAAGGATCCAAGTGTTCTAATTGGCTTTTGACAGATTCAGTGAAATGAGAGGCAATCACTACTCCTATGGTTTAATAATAATATCCTGCATTATCAAGAATGATTTAGGAGGCTGACTTGGGCTAGAGATGATCTGGAAAGGCAAAGCTGTCATTTAAACACTCAGTTTGGTCTTTTAGCATTTACAATAATTTTGGCAAAGTGTGCTCATAATTTGAAGAAGTGCTAAGATCTTGAAAACTAACAAAATTATCTATTAGAAAGCATACAACAAATTTACTCTGAAAATGCTATTTTAGGGCCTGAGAAAAGAATAAACTTTACTGAGCACAGCATTCCAGTAGATAGAAATAGGGGATAAGCAAGAAATATGCCTTTGGTTTAGTGGCTCATCTAGCTACCAACTGTGACCTCCGGGTGTCACTTCCCCAAAGATCTGTTCTGTAAAGGGCCTGATCTAGAAAGCAGAGCAATGAGCTTGGAGAATCCCCAAGTGAAACGTCCCAGCAAAACTTTCTCTTGGTAGATATCCTGGGATGGAAAATCCACCATCTCCCAGTGACTGCATGCCTTGTCCGTTTACTATAGATAAAATGGCCATTTTTTTCTATTTATTTGTTTGTTATTTTGTTTATTAGTTATTTTATTTATTTACATTTCAAATGGTATCCCCCTTCCCAGTTTCCCCTATGCAAACCCCCCTATCCCATCACCTTCCCCCTGCTTCTATGAGGGTGCTTCCCCACCCACCCACCCACTCCTGCATCAGCACCCTAGCATTCCTTTACGCTGGGGCATCGAGCCTTCACAGGACCAAGGGGCTCCCTTCCCATTGATGCCAGATAAGGCCATCCTTTGCTACATATCTAGCTGGAGCCACAGATCCTCTCATGTGTACTCTTTGGTTGGTGGTTTAGTCCCTGAAAGCTCAGGGTTGGGGGATGGGGTGTATGCAGTCTGGTTTGTTGAAATTGTTGTTCTTCCTATGGGGTTGCAAACCCCTTCAGCTCCTTTCCCTAACTCCTTCATTGGGATCCTGAGCTCAGTCTGATGGTTGGCTTCGAAAATGTACATCTGTATTGATAAGGCTCTGGCAGAGCTTTTCAGGGGACAGCTATACCAGGCTCCTGTCAGCAAGCACTTCTAGGCATTATCAATAATATCTGGGTTTAGTTCTGCAGATGGGATGGATCCCTAGGTGAGGCAGTCTCTTGATAGCTTTTCTTTCCATGACCATAATTTTATGTCTTTTACTTCTACAAAGCAAAATTCCACATTTCTAACCACAAAATTGAGATTAATAAATTTAAAATAATAAGAAAATAAATAGTCTGTGAAGTTTTTACTTGGAAGCTGATGTCTATGCTGTACCAACATAAAACCAACTAGCCAAAGCTCTATGGAAGACGAAGGTACTTTGAAAAATGCTATGTTTTCACATGTAGTCTAAGTAAGATTAAAGTCATTGTCAAAAAAACTTTGCCAATATAGACATCTACCTTAGCCAAGTCATCCTGGATCAGTGGAAGGAACACTGGGGTCTAGAATTTGTTCTGATGTTAACTTCCACTGTCTTTTTCTGAAGTATTCTAACAGTCTGTACCAAAAGTTTCACATCTATAAAAATGATAGTTTAAGTGAATCTATCTCTAAAGTCTCTGATAACTTTAAAATTTCATGCTTCAAAGAAAATTATTTCCCCTTAAGGTAGTTTCCTGATAATGGAATAACTTTTCCAGCCATACATTTGCTACAGAAAAGACAGAGTGACCTCCCTGCTTTTGTATAAGTAGCTCTTCTCTTCATTAAGGATTTAGTAGTATCAGACTCTTTAAAGCTGAAACCATACAACAAATGAAGCATCAGCCCTGGTACCCAGGACACACCTTTATTGTGGGAACATTAGCTCTGATTTGCAGATCCCCTGGGGTTGTGGAGTTAGTCTCAGGAGCTACATCATGATAGAATGGATCTTATAAATCATCACCTTGTACAGGTATGTGTATTGAATTGTATCTATCTCATAAGATCTTTCTCATGGGGACTCTTTAAATGCCTAACAATCCAACCTAAAGCTATCTGTCCCCACCTCCCCAACTTATAAGACCTATTCTGTTAACACGGGTCTTACACAGATCTAGGAGTCAAGTAAGTTGGGAACACTTGAGCATGAACAGCCCATAGAGCTGATTCACACGGTATTCATTTGGTGTCTGCAACTCCGAATCCTGTTTTAAGCTTCTCTGTAGCCCTAGAATGATACTCCCTGGCCTTGCCAAGGCGTCTACATGTATCAGAATCAGTTTTAGCTTGAAAACATCAGTAATTCCCATGATGACATTGATCTTTGAAATAAATGGGAGGGTGTACTGATGCAAATGAAGACAAATTCAGGGGAAAAACTTGAAACATTATGGAAATTACAGAGTAAAAATGTAAAGTGCCTAATCATAGATATTCAAAAGAATGGAAATTCATATCTAAGCAATATGGAAATGCAGGCAGTATGTTTTAACAAAGAAAAGAAGATAATGAGGTAATTGTGTCTATGTATAGCTGCATATACATCATATAGATAGTCTATTATTGACTCAACCAAAAAGCTGAATAAAAGACATGAAAATCATAGAACACTTTCAAATGAAAATATGCAGTCCTTGTTATCTAAAAAAAGTGATTGCAATAAGAAATTATATACATAAAAAGTAGGGAGAGCTTCTGGTTTGAATACCAACTAGAAAAGAGCATTTACATGCTTCATTTTGTAGAAAATTTAGCCATGGATGCATTTCTTTAGCAAATAAGCAGAAGAAGCAAGTGGCATATCCCAGGCTATCCCTAGCACCGTAGTGCTGGCCAGCCACTGGAACTTCCATACCTGGAAACAATAAAGCGACTGCTATCCGGTGACTGAAGGGAAGTAGAGTCAATGACTAGAGGTCTGGAGGGAGAGAGAGAGACTCAGCTTGACCCAGGGGACTGTAAAGTACCGTTCCCAATGTCAACTGTTCATGAGACAAACACTATTACTGAAGTTCGTGTTCTTTTTTTTCCTTACCAAAAATTGAGAAGAAAACCTTGAGTCATGATTTCCATCTGCCAACCTCTTTTCTTCCATATCGATCTAAGAATATCCATGTTCTCTTCATTACTGAATGCTCTCTTCTCAGCTACCTGTAAGACGGAAGTCCCAAAGTCCCAACATCATCCCTCCGGTTTCCAATTCCCCTTTACTATTTGACCCACTAGAATGGTGAACAACCTTAGGTCATATTTTTTCAGCACTCTTCTGCTGGTGGATGTCCTTTTGTTCTTTCTGCAGAAATCAAAGATCTCCACCTATGAGAAAATGTGGGCTTTCATGAGCAGTAGACAGCAGAGCGCACTGGTTAAAAACAGCGATGAGGGGATCCAAAGGGTGCTCACTACCGACTATGCCCTGCTGATGGAGTCCACCAGCATTGAGTATGTGACACAGAGGAACTGCAACCTCACCCAGATCGGGGGCCTCATAGACTCCAAAGGCTATGGAGTGGGGACACCTATCGGTAAGAGGGGCAAGGCATGAGCCAAGGCTGGGCAATGTTGATTACAAGTATTCAAATTGTTGAGAAGTACAATGTGTAGCCAACTAACAAGGAAGAGAAACGTCCACTTTAAAAGATAGGGATGGTTTAAATTGAGGAATCTCAGATGTTTAGTCTAATCAATTTTCAGCTATTTATTTTATATCTTACCACAATGTAACTGTTCAAGATTTATGTAGATTTTATTCTGACCATCAGTATTTTAAAGAACTATTTCCTGATTAATCTTCATTCATTATTTTCTTGAATATCTTATGTATCTAGTTTTTATACCTTAAGTTATATTAGAATATAAGAAAACTAATTCTACATATAGATGAAAACTAATTCTGCATGTAGAGGGCTATTTCTCCATCTTAATAAATGAGAAAACAGTGCCATATCTATCTAAAAAAGAAACAGAAATTCTCTTCTCAGACAATAAACTAGAGTCAAAGAATATCTACCTAAAAGATCTACCAGATATTTCTACTTGTTCATTTCAATAGCACAGTGCCTCCTCAAGACCCTACTGCATGGAAGAACTACATACCCATATACTATATACTATTCCATGATAGTAACAGGAATAAACAGAAAATGGGTCTATGTTTAGGGGACAATTACTGATCTTTTTCCACAGAAAACTTCTTCCTATTTTATTGATATATAGAAAACTGCATTTACGATGTTCTGTCATAAAGACAGCCTATTCCTCTCAAGTGAAACTTTGGTAATCCGACAAAGAGAAATAAGGCCATCTAGAGCTGTGGGCTAATCCAGTAGCAAAGGATTATAGTGGCAGCCAAGCCAGACAGATAAGAACCCTGGGTAGGCTTGATTTATGTGTCTGTATTTTGTTGCCATGTTTGACAGGGATTATGCAGTGTGACTGTCAATATCAGGCAGGGATCATAAACTTCACTGCTTATAAGCCAAGACAGATCATGAGTCAAGCTGGTTTGCTTTGCTTGAGTGGTACTAGAGAATGCTGTCAACTGCAGACGGTTACAGACCATGACTTGTCTAAAGGAGGCCTTTTCCATCAGTCAGTGGTAGATTCATAGGACTTTAAGAAGAAGTATGGCCAGGTGCTTCATTTTTCCAACAAAAAACAAAGTCATCATTTAGTTGAAATAAATTTCCTAATATTAATAATCTGACAACTAATTAACTTTCTTTTAAAAACTGTACTCAACCCATGTTCAACAAAATTTACCGTATTACTATTAATTAGTTAAATAAAGAGCTTTGGTTGCACCACCAAGTTGACTCTCCACTATTTTTTGGTTTAAAATATTAGCATATCCTATGAGAAATGAACTTTATTATCACTGTTGTCCTCTAAATCTTCAGAAGAACAATTACACTGGGGAGCCCATAACTACCTTCTTGGCCCTCCGTTAGCTCTCTTATAGGAAGAGTATGCTTAGAATAGGTTAGCTGATGATACTTCAACAGAATACCAGGCTAAGTGGTAACCAGCATAGAAGTATAGGACAATGGACTACTATGAAATATTTGAGAAATAAACTCTTACGTTTAGGCTGAGTTTCTTGTGTTACAGTTTTCTGCACTGAATTTGCTCCATTCAAAGGAAGATTACCCAGAGTACAGTTCTGGTGAAGTTCATGTGGGCCACTGTGTATCTAATCTCCACTTGTGTCTTCCCTGCCATTCAGACAATAATAAAACTGGTTAAGGGGTCTGGTCACAGCATGTCAGACCAAGCTACAGCTCTGGAGAGTAAGGTTACAGCATTCCATGAACAATCTGGGATTCATAGACATGCTTGTAAAGATCTGTAATAGGAGGCTTGCTTCATTTTCTGGCTTCTTTCAAATTTCTAAGAATGTCATTGATTTAATAAAAATATAAATTACACTATTTCTCCCTTTCTTCTTACACTTCCATGTCTGCCTCCTTTCAGATTCATCACCTCCTCCTCTTTAACTGTTGCTGTTCAGTATACATATGAATGAGTAAACATATAAATACATCCCGTTGCATACATTTAGTATTGCTTGCTTGTATGTTTTTTAGGGGTGATAATTACTGGATTACAAATGGGAGCTCCTCCCTGAGGAAAGCTAATTCTCCCTCTCTAAGAGGTTGCTAATTGTTGTAGCTCTTACTCTAGAAATAAGTCCATGAGATCTCTCCTGTCTACACTAGAATGTCACCCTGCTACTGGAATTGTTCGGGTCTCTTTCAGGCAGCCATTTTGACATTTCAGAGGTACAGATTTTCTATCATGGATGGGGGCAGAAACTCATAGCAGAAATCTTAGTCCTCTGACTCTTACAATCTTTGTTCTCCTTCTTCCACAAGGTTCCCTGAAACTTGTGTCAGGAGTTATATTGTGTTTATAGATCTATCAATTAGGCCTGGGCACATAGCTTGGTCATTTGAATCATTTGCTCTCTGCATTTTGACTAGCTATTACTGATGGCCTCCACTCCACATTCTTCCCCCCAAAAAAGAAACCAATATGGTCGTGGTAGATTCCTTAAATATCTCTTCTTGTACCTGCTTTGAGATGAACAAAGACAAAGGAGTGGTCTGACCTACCATTCATTATTCAGGGGATACATTATTCATTAGACACACACACACACCTACTTAAGAGTGGTTTGGGTAGAAGGTCCTTGCTGCCTGGTCCAAAGAGCTTATTAGAAGTAGATCTTTGTCTAGCAGGGGCTTAAAATCTTGTAGAAGCATCATCAGAATATAGAACTGCTCAACTCCAGAAAATACACACTTGATGAGCCCATTAAAATTCAGGGACTAAATGAAAGAAGTAAGCATATGGCAACAAGTGGTCCCAGGAAGGGACACAACCGAGTTAGCCAAGACAAGCCACCAGCCACTGGTTTTAAAAGCCCACAGTCAAGCCCTCCCTGGAATACTTGCTCCTGAAAATCAGTCAGATTGGATAATACTTAGACTTCATTGAACTTGTCTGCATTTGTTACATGAAAACAGTCTCTACCTTCAACACACATAATATGGGTTCCATCTTATACAATAATCACCAGATAATAATAATCTAGGGCTCAGCAGTTTTGAGGCACAACTGTTGCAAGGCAAAATAAATATTCCAATATTATTTTTAAAACTGTGGGCTAACTTAGCTATTTGAGCAGTGAGTTTTATGAATAGTCTTTGGGCGGAATTCCAGTTACATTTCTGTTGCTGTGATATTAAAAACACACTGACAAAATGCCGTTTAGGCAGAGAGGCTTATTCCAATTCCAATCCCGTGCTACAATCCATTGTCCCAGGGCAATCACAAGCAATAGCTGGGAGCCCTCTGTCACATCTACATTCAAGAACAGAAAGAAATGAAAGCAGATGTGTTCACTTGCTTGCTTGTGTTCATCTCAATTCTCCACTCTTCATATAGTTAAAGGCCTAGGGATGCCTTAACCATACCTGCTTAGGGATGGTGCTGCCCACAGTGGTCTGGGTCTTCCCATAGCATTAACTTCCTTAAAACAACCCTCCGCACAGACATGATCACAGATCAACCCAGTGCAGGCAATCCCTCATTGTGCATCTCTTCCTAGGTGAAGGTAGGTTATGACAAGTTGACAATTAAGCTAACCCATGAACAAAATGAAACAAAAACTGATCAATAGGCTAGCACCACACAACGACAACAGCAAAATGGTTTTATGTGTTTTAGTTAAGTAGCAGAAAGGCAAAAGCCTATTGTCTTATGGAAACAGATATGTGGGGATTTTAGGCAAGAGAAAATCAAGATAAAAGATAGATTTAAAGGTGGCCAGGTGGTGTATAGTTGCCTAGTAGCGTTCTAGGTGTCCTCTTTAATTGGGTAAAGCTGGTTACATGAATGACTGACTGTGAGTTATTAGAAACAGCAGGTCTCCTGGCAGAACCCGATCAGAATGAGAGTCCTTGTAGTACTACTAAGTGGGCTTATAATATGGTCATTTTACTTTGATTATACTTTGGGAAACCACTGCATGTTTAGACCATGTAGGTAGTAACTACTTAACCTCTTTGCATTATGCTCTGTCAAGCTTCCATGAGGTACTGTTAGGGATACAGGAATAGACTCCTTTAATTTTCCTCTATGAGTAATATCATGTTCCGGGATAGGACAAGATCTGGCTGCCCACACTACTTCAATAGGAAGGACTGGAGATTGTCTTGTGCTGGTTTTTCTTTTTGAAGAATCGAAAGTGGCTAAATTTCAATACGTGGGGTCTCCATGAACTCTCTGTTCAAGAGAATAGTTGACTTACCAAAGGATAGGACACTTTTAGACCTGTTACAACAAAATATTGTCTGTTTTTCTATCCCACTTACCCTTGTGATGGCTAGTGTTTTTTGTCAATGTAACACATCTTCAAAAATGGGACCTCAATTAGGAAAATGCCCTCATCAGATTGGCCTATAGGTAAGACTGAATGGCATTTTATTGATAAATTATTGGTGTTGGGGGCCTAGGCCACTGTGGGTGGTGCCACACCCCTAGGCTTGTGGTCCTGAGTGGTACAAGAAGGCAAGCCATGGGGAACAAGCCAGTAAGCAGTGTCAGTCTATGATCTCTGCTTCACTTCCTGCTTCTAGGTAGCTACCTTGAGTTCCTACCCTTCAGTAATGGACTGTAAGCTGTAAGATGAATAAACCTTTTCCTTCCCAAGTTGCTTTTGGTCATAGGGTTTATCACAGCAACAGAAACCTAATTAGGACAACCCTTATTGGATTTAACATCCAAGCATTGTTGAACACCCACTACATGAGCTTCACCAAGCTTGAAGAATGAATACTTTCTTAAAGTTTTGCTGTTATAACACTTAAGTGCTGACTTTATTAAGAGTCTAAGTAGTGATAAAATTGGCAGAAAATATAAGTATTTTGATAGACTATAAAGTATCTTTAAGTCAATTGTCTTAAATGTTATAGCTAGTAAGTCAGTAACAATATTTTAGTGAAAATCCAAAAAGCAATATTTGAAATAAAAAAGAATGGTAAACATTATTTTAAATGTATAATAATAATAATAATAATAATAATAATAATATAGGCCAATGTATTATCAGTCTTGGAGATGTCTGAAAATTCTTGTCAATTTAAAATGACTAACTTCTATTTAAGTCTAATGTATTTAAATGAACCTAAGTTTACATGTGTCTATTAATTTTTAGACCAATTTGATTTAAACTCTTTGAAGGAACTTGTCATGTAATATGTACTAAAGTCAGTACACATAAGCATGTAGACAGTATAAATATCACATCAAGCTGACAGTGGGACCAATACACAAGACAGACTGTGAACAATGATAAGAAATAGGCAATTAAAGACACACTTTCAAGAAACTTAAAGGTCATGTGACATGGAAACAAGGAGGAAAAAACATATTCCAAAGACACAGAACAGAGATGAACCAATGAGAGCATGCCAGCGATATGAGAGAGAGAGAGCAACAGTAAAGCAAACTCACAGGAAGCCAGTTAGCATCACTGGGAAAACAGCAGGCAGGGAGCTAGAACTGGCTGTCTAATTCTGATGACTTCCTGATAGAAACAGCAGGGTTCCTGGTAGTTCTTCTCTAAGTGAGAGTCTCTTATTTCACTTATTCAATATGTTCTTCAAGGGGCTCACAAAGATCATAGGACAATAACTAAATAGAAAAAAATGTTGTGGGCCTTAAAACAGTGTCCTATCTCCCTAACCCACTTTGGCCATCTCATTTTAGGTAACATATGTGGGAGACTTCGAGCAAATGTTCTTTATGTTTCCTCACAGGTGATTTAGTAAATGAAGCATAAGTCAAAAAAAAAAAAGCACCAGGAATAGTTTTTGCCTCAATCTTTGCAGAACTGGGACCTCAGGATTGATGGGGCACTCTGTATCTTCTTAAGTAGCAACTAGATTTTCTTAATTCAGCCATCTTTAAGCTAGAAACTTTCTCATTCTATCTTCTACTATACAACCCTGCCTGATCCCTTTAGCATCCCTCTATGACACCAAATTTCCTGTGTTGTAGAAATGATAGAAAGCAGGAATGTGTATCACTCTGAGAGCAGCTGCATGTGCACATAAGAATGTTAATTTATATTCCTTTTAAAGAGTGGAATATTTAGGGGTTGGAGATTCAGCTCCGTGACAGAGTGCTTGCTGAGCAAGTGTAAGGCCCTGCTTAAGGTTTGGTTCTTAACTCTGAGTTTCTGACAGTCTGGGGTTGGTGTGAGGCAGGAATCATGGGAGCTGATCTTTCTGCAGCTCTGCTGAATGAATACTGCACTTTAGGGCTTGCTTTCTGCCCTCCTGTGAATGAGGCTGCCTCTGTGATGAGTCTGTCTACATTCATATATCATGATACCTATTACATGGAAAGACCTATATGGATCCATTCTGTCTCTCCTTCACCAATGCTACCTATCACAAATGCTGATATTAAATAGCCTCTTTCTACCCCTCCTAGATGAAAAGAAATATACACCAGAAATTTTTCATAGTGGTGATAAACCTGTCATGCTTTTAAAGCAAAAACAATGAGGGAATAATTGGGACAGATGGTGGGCTTCAGAGCGAACTCATCCATGGGGAATACAGCTGCTGGAAACATTTGAGAAATGCTTCTTTTATGATGAATTTATTCTTTAAGAAAGATCAGTTGCTATTCAGAAAGATCCATGTGTACAGATCCTTTTTTTAAAAAAAAAAAATGATCTTCAAGAAGTCACTTCTGATGTCAATTAGACAATTTAGCCAATAACAAAGACTGAAGCTAAAAGATATCCAGATGTGAAAAGGTCTCCGCCACCTCTGGTTTTGCCCTGAGTCCCCAGAGGCTCTGAAGTCTCTCCCATAATAGAAGATTGGCAAAGTTGGCCCAGTCACAAGCTAAAATTGAAAACTGCTGCTTAGAGACTTTCAGGACAGACGCTCTAGAAATGTGCCTCCCAAGGGATTTAAAATAAAGCTTCCTGAGGATGGGAGCAGTTAAGATTTAAACAGGTTACTGGAAGGCTGGAAATTACCTTCCTTAGAGACCAACATTAAGCTGAGATTGGATCTCCATCTGTCTGTAATGTGTTAGGTGTTGTGCAGCCTAGAGGCAAGAGGAGAGTGGCAGCGAGCATTTATTGAGTACCCACTGTGTATATCACTGTGACTACTGTACAGCCATGGCCAGGAGTACAGCTCTCACGCTCATCAGAGCATTTCCATGTACCTTAAAGCAATGTGCTCCAGGCCCTCTCATTTACTTGCACACTCTAGGGATATTAATGCTGCTAATTTTGCCTCTGCCCATTTGTTGTTCTGGGAAAGTTTAAGCAAAGAGCTGATATCTTTTGTTTTCAAAATCCATTTTCTCACCCAAAAATCCATACTCTGTATTGGCATACTATAATCTCCTTCTAATGCATTTCACATTTCTTTTTAAGGTAGATTTTGTGTGTTGACAATTTTTTTTAAGTCTTAGGAAGGAATAAATGAGAAATGACAGAAGATTAGTCCTGAGCTTATTGCATTTAAGCTATGACATGGGACATAGGTCATCTGTGAGGCTGAGAAGGGAGCTGCCAGCACTTTCACAGAAGAGCACGGAGATATAAGGAAGAAGAAGAGCTGACTTTGATTCTTGGCTCTTAATAATACCTCCATATTTTAATTTTTTTAAACCATTTTAATGAATGGTCTTGACTTTACTACTCCTAAGATTTTGCCTTTTTTATAGACACTGACTTTCCAATTTGCCTCCATCAGGAATGGCTTTAGATTTTGTATGCAAAGGGAGCTTCTTACTTTTGAGGATACGAAATACTATCAAAAAATGTTGTCATTCACGGAAATGAATGAGTCAAGGAGTCTTGTTTTATCTCTTTTCTGTTGATTAACATAGGAATTCAGAAACTGTGTCCATGTATACCGGTTGGCACTTTCCAACCCTTCATAATTAAAGTTTTGATGGTATTACCAGATGACAGACCATAAATATTACCAAGTTCTTGCCACAGAATATTATAGCAACGGAGAATTATTCAAATCATACTTTACCTTAATTGGTACATGAATCATTATGGATGAGCCACTGTAAATATCTAAAATCTTTTAATGTCATGCACAGTAAAATTCCTTGCTTGTCATAACTTGGTCTGGGTTAAAAGAGAATATGTGTTTCATGCAGTGACCCTAGAATCCGAAATCCTTCTCTCTGTGGCATCCCCATCACTACTGACTTGAAAGTTTTCCTTATTGCAGTGGTGTATTTAGGAAAAGACAGCAAGCAGCACATGTTGGGAAGATTTATGACACAAGAGTAGAAATATCATCCATCACTTTAGCTCCCCCTGCCTAGAGAAGTGATGTAGCTCAACTCTAATGGAGACAGGGAATCAGAAGAAAGAATGGCCAAACTTGGCCAAGATAAGAGATCACCAAGAGGCCAGAAAAAAAAAACAGAATCTAAACAATAAATCCCTTGACATATGAAAAGATTGGTGAAGAACTCAGCAAAAACAGAAATGTCATAGAATTCCTGCTTAACGTTTATTTAGAATGAGAAACCTTGACATGGCACCTCCCCCTTTTCTTATTAATTAGAGACATCTAGATAGAAGAGTGGGTATTCCTGACTTTGGCTAATAGATTTGTTCATTAGGGTTCCACAGTAACTCTACAGTATTTATCACTAACATAGTGAAATGTCTTGATGTCTTATCTCTTTGGTGACCAACACCCAAATCACCTCCAACTTTCAGGGTCCCCTTACCGGGATAAAATTACAATTGCCATTCTTCAACTACAAGAAGAAGGAAAGCTTCATATGATGAAAGAGAAATGGTGGAGGGGAAATGGCTGCCCTGAAGAAGACAATAAAGAAGCCAGTGCTCTGGGCGTGGAAAATATTGGGGGCATCTTCATTGTTCTGGCTGCGGGACTTGTCCTTTCTGTGTTTGTAGCTATTGGAGAATTTTTATACAAATCAAGGAAGAACAATGACATTGAGCAGGTGAGTTATCTCTTTCTAAGGCAGAGTAGTTTTTGCTTTAAATTTGCTGTCTTAAGTTTGAGAATGTTAAGGATACTTTCCCTGTTTGTAACTGTCTATTGAATTAGATGCCCAGAAGAGCCATTTCTGAGTTAGAGCAAAGAGCATTGAATCCCTGCCAGGTGCTGCAGGCTCTGCAGCTTTATCATTTATTAATGAGAAGAAGGAGAAGTCTTGTATACCAAATCCAATTAGCACTACTTGGAATGACAGTGCAGAAATTCTAGACTCAGTTGATTTCTTTAACAGTTATTTGCTCTTAAGATAGAAACTATAGAAAGAGCAAGGGATACATAATCCAAAATGACAGAAGACATGAGAGAACTGTCACCAGCCCTTTAGTAAACATTCTGAGCACAGGTACCCTTACAAAACAATTTCTATAAAAACTACACAGCAGCATTTTTAAATTGGTCATTTGCTTACATTGAGATATAATATGTGGAAAGATAATTTATGTAACTTTTGCTATGAATATGATAAACAACACAACATGAAAATAAAGTATATTTAAGACTTTATTTTTTAAAGTTGCATCTAGGATGATGGAGCAATTTCAATAGGCAAGTCATTTTACCTAGGTGTTCAGTCCTGGAACTTAGGTGCTTTGGGGGAAAAACCTACAATTGACTGCGATTTAAGATAATTCTCTTCTAAAATAAATAAAATACAGAGCTCTAGGGCATTGTAGAATATTAGCCTACTAGTTTAGTTTAAAGATACCATTAGAATCTCAAAGCTAAGTGCTATTACCTCTATTACCAATATCATGAAACTCTTAATAATTGTCAACATAAGGCTCCATTTTGCAGAGTCCTGCAAATTGTATGGCTGGCTTTGATTAATAACCAGATACTAAAATCATTTTCTTTATGTGCAAACTATATTGAGTACCCAACCCTAGGATGATTCATTATAATCTTGTTTCTTTGTGGAAACCCTCCCCAGAATTAAAAAGCAATTGTGAGATTATGAAGCACCCCTTTCCTGGACCTCATTATAGAAAACTGTCTTTAATTAACAGGTAGAATGGACTGGTCTGCTTTAACTTTCAATTTGCTCTTGAGGTGTCTTGTTTTATGCTACTAATTTGAAAAATAAAAGCTTGTGTATATTATGCTTTTAATGTGCTGCTTCATAACTGCTGGCTTCATTTAATTTTTCATTTAAACATTCATTCTTGCTTTCTATTTATTCACTTTCTTTATTTTTTCCATTTCTTTTGCATGCAAGGCTTTTTGTTTCTTTTATGGACTGCAATGTAAACAAACCCATCCGACCAACTCCACTTCCGGGACTACTTTATCTACAGATGTAGAGTGTGGCAAATTATTACGAGAGGAAAAGGGGATTCGGACACAGTCCTCAGTTCATACTGTATAACTGAAGTTTTTAAAGTTGTTTCCAGTAGAATCATTTGTAATGAGTATTGTTTGTGCCTGCATCTATTAAAATGAAGTATCTAGTCTGCCCTTTTCCTTATATTAGCAAAATGTAAAGACACTACTCCAGGCTCTAAGTTCAGATGGCCAGAACATACGTGCACTATATACTGATGCAGGGTTTTATAAGGGTAATGTAGAGTCCTGGATGAATGTATATATAGAAAACTATTCTGTCCTAAACTGTCATTCTGTGCTTTCTTTATACATTAAAAATAAATGATATTTTCATTATAAGCAAAAATTGAGACACATAACAGGGGAACACAAGGGAAAATGCTAGTTTGGTGTTCTTTTTTTTATCTCTGTGAACTTTCCCCCTCTTTTTTCCCTCTCCCTGTCTCATGGTTGTTGTTTTTTTTTTTTTTTTTAGACCTACATATTTCAAAACTTCTATAGCCATGTCTTTTCAATGAGTATGCCAGTAACTCTCTAACATTGTTAATTTTTAACTAAATTGGTCCCAATATTATAAATGCATTATTTACCCAAAACCTCAAATGTGTCTTGGCTCTTAAAGATTCAGAAACCATCACTGAAAGAATAATGATTGAACTTGAATTCAAAGGGGGATGACCTAACCTGGGCCTCTCTCAGGATCTGAGGCACAGTCAAAAATGATTTCTAGACAGAAACTCAGCAACATCAGATTTTCAAAGAGCAGATAGCTGTCGTGTGTAGGTGTAGAACCCCTGAGAATCTGATTAGTTTCAAGCCATGTACTATTTCCTGGAAGAGGCAAGCAGAGTCCTAAACTCTGAACTAACTCATGACATCTTCCGTTTGCTGCTCACCCGCACTCAGCCTGTGCAATGCATCTTCCCACACAAGCTTTACTGTACTTTCTTCCCACTCCCCTAAGAGAGATGAGTTCTTCTTGAAGCCATCTTTTCTGAGCCTTGCCAAGTTCACACTCATTTCCCTGGACCCATCACCATTATTAATACATTCTAAGTGCGCCATAGAGACTGGCAAGGTAGAGAAAATAAATACCAGAGACAATTTCCATATGCATTAGTCACAGATCTCTGCAGATTTATTTTCTACCTGCATTCAAAGTGAATAGTCCCCACACCACCTCAGCTTGGTGACACAGAAAGCCAATGGCATGCTTGATTTGCTGTGACAAAGAGTGTTTGCTGTTTGCACTGAGTTCATTTCCCCTTGGCAGAGAGTAGGGGAATTGTGTTGCCTTTCCTCTCTTTTCAATATGGGATTGGTTGGTCTTTGCTCTCTGTCAGATTTCCTCTTGACTTATCAAGTGATTCCCCTAGAATACATTGCAGAGAAGGAGGTTTTTGACATCTGGACAATCATGCTGCATGACCTTCTTGCTTAGCTTTAAATGGGTTCTAGGATCTTAGTCACAGCTCCTTCCAATCAACTTTATATTTCCTCGGTAAAGCATGATCGAAACATTTGACTCCTACACTGATTGCTTTTCAGCCTTGTTCTTTAAATAAATTAGCTCTTATGAAAATACATAAAAATCATATTACTATTTATTTACTATTATTAAAGTGGGGAAAGGCTGCTGTGTGTCTCTAATCAGAATTCACATGTCCAGGATCAATAGAATCAGGATAAAGGCTACACTAGTCTTAGTTTCATGACTTATTGATTCGGCAGACAGAATCCACAAGGTGCTTAAGTTTATTTCCCAAAATCTATTTAATACACCAAAGTGGCTATAGAATGTTCTGAGTGACTGATGATACAGAAAACTCAAACTGGCAATAACTTGCAAAATTCACATTCCTGTATAGACCATACTTAAGTTTGATTCAGAGATGAGTAAAGAAGCAATTTCCTTCCAAAGCTAACATTAGGAGGGCTTGGGATATAGCTTATTTGGAGAATGCTCACCAAACTTACTTGGACTTTGGGTGGTGCTTCACAGCCCCAGCTATGCATAAAACCATCTATGGTGACAAAAGACTATAATCCCAACACTCAAGAGGTAAAGACAGAAGAATTAGAAAATCAGGATCAACTACAAATTGAGTTTAAGGGAAGCCTGGGATACAAGACACTTGTCTCAAAAGAATTTTTAAATAAATAAACAAATGGCATTTTGGATTTGTTTTAGATTGTATGCTATCTAATTCTGACATTTACATAATATTTTATAGTTTTCAAAATATTTATACATACATCACATTTGATCCTTTTGGTGATTTTAATCCAGCTTTATTATCAGAAATAATGGATATTAGAGTCCAGAATCTTGAGTCATGACAATATAGTTAGAAGACAATTTTATAAATTATCCAAACTCTGGTTCAAGCACAGCCATGTGCGGCATCATTGTGTAGAATCACTGCGTTTCCAATGCTAAATATTTTCCAGCTTCAGTTTTCTAACATCTAACACTAGGAGGTCACTTTCTAGAACACAAGGTTGCTTTCTAAAGGTATTTTTCAAAATAGGTGCCACTGGCAAGCACTTAATGAACTTTTCATGGTTAATTAACTTAGAGGGAACCAAACTCAACATTCCCTTACCACGTGGTAGTTTAGTGTATTTAATATGATGTCATGGATGGAGAATTTTTCTCATGCCCTTAAGTCATAGTGTCATTTCTATAAAGCAAATGGCAAGACCTGTGTCCCCATATGATACTGTCTACATCTACCATGAGAACTAAATGAAATCACATTGTGGCATAGAACATAAAACTATTTTAGTCTTTATAATAAACACTGATCAATAAATATGACATCCTATAGAAAAATTAAATATTTCTCTCTGGTCACAGGAGCAGTCAGAAAATGACCAGCATCTTAAAACCAACCCAGATTTAGAAAATGAGATTATTAATATAAAGATTCAAACACTGTCCAATTTTCCCTGAGCACATGTTAAAAATGAATGGCAAAGTCACTACACTAAAGGGAAGGGCTTGCATCAGGAAGATATGAGGATTTACAGGAGTAGCTTTGGGCAGTCTCTCCTGACTATAAACTCCAGTGTGAAGTTAGGTCAAGGCAATTGTAACCATTTGAGACATTCAGTTGATTATAATAGTCAAGAAAAGTTATGATTCAATAATCTAAGCAGTTGTTTAAATATGAAATTGGGTTGCTTTGTGTGAATTGACTCAAACCAAAAACAGGGTTACTAATTCTACATGATAGATGATAGATGGATAGATAAATAGATGGATGGTAGATAGATAGATAGATAGATAGATAGATAGATAGATAGATAGACAGACATATTTAGCATCTGATATACAATGGACCATTTATGTGGAGACTCTAAAAAACATGTGTTTCTTTAAGATGGAAATTTCATGATATTGATAATCTCAGCATTTATTGGTAAAACATAGATCTATCCTTAGTTAAAATGACCAAGTAGTTTGTTGCTGCCTTGGGCCTTTGTAGATGCTTTTTTTTCCAAACTTCTAACAACCACTTCTTGTTGCCATGGCAATAACTGCTGAGACCACATTGACCTCTGCAGGGTCCATTGCATTTCAAGTGAAATTTAGAACAAAAGCTATCAGACCATATT